AAAAAAGTCATTTTCCGTCATTTCGCGATTGTATTATATTTATGCTTCCTCGTACACACACGTATATATACGTGACACTCTCGATGATGCTCGCAGCAGACGTATTCAATTTCATCGATTGCTAAATTACAATGTGGATAATTTGACCGAGTGGAAATTGGAGGTTGCGCGTGACACGTTATTACGTTACGATTTGCGACAAGTACAATTATTTAACTACGATAATCATTCAGCGAACCGCCCGTAAAAAGGGCGTATGGAAAATATGAAATATATTTGGTACGCGATGGACAATCATGTTTTTTTTTCACACTTTTGATCTTTCAGATTTATTCGAGAGGAAAAACCAATGGACCCGATGTTGACGATTCTGTAAATCCTTTTTATCAAGTCCTTTCTTCTCATTGTCAGTCTCGTCGTTATTATTACTTATATATAGATGTACATCCTTCTTGTCGAAACAGTTCCCTTCTCGGGAATTTATACATATATGTATAATACATTCGTAAATCGTAATATATCGGAATAGGTATGTAGTTATTCGAGCTAGCTGCAGACACCACGAAAGCATCGTTACTTGTATTTTTCGAGCTTAAACGGAAGCTTGAATGCTCGGAAACGTGAGCAACTTTTGTACACTTTTGTACATTACGTACAAAATATCACGCGTGTTAGGGCTAGATAGGGTGAGGGTAAGTAGGTAGGTAGGTAGGTAGGTAGGTAGGTAGGTAGGTAGGTAGAGAGAGAGGTAGGTAGGTAGGAGGGTAGGTATAGAAACGTAGCGAGATACGGGATTCAAATCATAATGCACACAATGCTTTTATTCTATTCTCATTGCGGGGTAAATAACATCTGTACATTAGATCACTATAAAATCGGCCGCCATTGGTGAAACGACAATGGGGCTCTCCTTCTCCCTCCTCTCTTCTCTATTCAAATCTCATTGTACAATATGATTCAAAGAAGACTCGTCGCGATGACGGTGTTGGTTGCGGTTTATAGACCGTATCCAACGAAAGAGATCGAATGGGAGAGAGGACTGGCGAAGAGGGAAGAGAGGGAAGGCAACGGGCAAAGAGAGAGAGAGAGAGAGACCGAAATAAGGAATATGTACGAAAGAAGAAAAAGAAGGAAAAGAAAGAGAAGACACGTTCCTGGAAAGAGGGAGAGAACGAGAAAGGCGTGCGTGGTTAAGAACAGTCGGCTGAAACAAAAGGCGGAGCGTGGAGAAACGTCTGAGCATCGCTTCGCATTGTGTTTTATGCTGGAACGGGTTTTAAATAAAAGAGTAATGTGTTTGTCCATTGCCGCCACCACCACCGCCGCTGCCGCCGTCGCCGTCGCTGCCGTCGCTGCCGCCGCCGCCGTCGCCGTCGCTACCACCACCGCCACCATCACCACTACTACCACCGCCATCACCACCACCGTTACCACTATCGTCACCGTCGCTGCCACCGCTACCGCCTCCTCCGCCTCCACCACCACCACCACCACCACCAACACCATTATCATACCAACACCACTACCACCACCATCACAACGTCACCATCCCATCATCGTCACCACCATCATCAGCATCACCGTCGTACGGAAGATACACACGGTTGACTTGGGGGGTGAGTGGGCAAAGGTAGGTAGGTGGGTACGCGGCTAGGTATGTCCCCCTTTCACTCGACAGCAGATATAAACTCTTAACATCTCGGTTTGGTACAGCGCGAGTCTGCCAATCGGCGGACGGTAGAGGCGTGGCTGTGGCTCGATGAGGCCTCGCGTTTGGCCGAGGTCTCGGGGTGGAACACTGTGGCACAGTGTTTTATTTCGCGCTCGCGTGGAGTATGGAGGGGATCGTTAGTTTCTGCCCTGTCTCCTCCCTCCCCGTGGAATCCGTCTCTGTCTCCTTATTCTTTCTCTCTCTCTCTCTCTCTCTCTCTCTCTCTCTCTCTCTCTCTCGCTCGCGCATTCTCGTCTCCCTAGTCCCTACCGTTAGGTAGAGGAGAACTGTGGCCCCGTTGAGCTCCCACTTTGCTGCCGCGCCGCATTACTACCGCCTCTCCTCCTCCGTCTATCCGCGCGCGCTACCTGAATCGACTCACCCGGGATGCTGCAATTGTTGACAATGCCGGCGAGCGAGAGGGAGTGAGAGGGGGCGAGAGAGCGTGTATCACGGGATGCGATTCCGCATTTCGGCCCCCGGCAGCCGAACGAGAGGGTGTTGTTCTCCGTACGACAGCCGCGTACCAACTTATGGGAGAGCAGGCGCGTGCGCGCGTCTACTATCGTAAGCGCCTATGCATTGCCATTGCTCCTGATTGCTCCTGCCGCGAACGGTCGTAACCAGTCGTAACCAGTCGTAACCAATCGTAACCAGTCGTAACCAGTCGTAATCAGTCGTAACGGTGGAAATTTTCATGCCATGTCTCGATGGTGGTGCGCGTAAGCTGTAAAGTAAAGGGCCTGATCCGATCGTCTCCGCGATTGAGTCTTGATTGACGCGATCGCGACGAGTCGACGGGTCGACGGGTACACCCGCCGAAAAGGTATATATCGTATCAAGAGGATAGAAAGAAGGTGTGGAGGCGTCCAAGAAAGTTTGGACGTGCAAATCCCTCGACATGGGGATGAGTGTCATCGAGTACGCGGTTAAGATTTCGCGCCCGGCTCGTCGGATCATCCACGGCGCGCGGTGATCGTCCGGTGCGGTCTGGTGATCGCTGCAAGTGATCGCGCGCGGGGAGTAGTAGAGTACACATTGTCTTCGCCGAGAGCTTTCGCCGCTCCTGTCGACGAGTGAGCCGAGTGAGCCGAGTGAGCCGAGTGAGTCGAGTGAGCCGAGTGAGTCGAGTGAACCACGTCCAACAGCTGTGTGATCATGTCTTTACCCCGCGGCGTCGGTCTCGGCGTCGATGTGGGCCAACTGATGCAACACCAGCAACAGCAACAGCAACATCACGTGCTGCCGGCCGCGTTTTTCCTGCGCGCCAGTGCCGAGAGGTATCAGCGGACCCCAAAGTGCGCGCGATGTCGTAATCACGGAGTCGTGTCCGCGCTCAAAGGACACAAGCGCTATTGCCGATGGCGGGATTGCGTCTGTGCCAAGTGCACCCTTATCGCCGAGAGACAACGCGTCATGGCTGCTCAGGTAAGATTTTCCTCTTACAATTTCCTCTTACTCTGCGGATGGAATTTTTTTTTCGTTTCATCTCTTAACGCGTTTCCAATTTTTCTCTTTTTCAAAAAAGGAAGAGATTTGTTTTTAAATTTTAAATCATTTCGATTTAACGCAAACTTTTTCTACTGCAGACTTTACTTGCAGATTTGAAAAAATTATCGCATGAAGTGTTATAAGGATTATAATTCCGGTATGTAATTTTGGTTACTTTGAAGAAATACTGAAAAGAACATCTTAGTAGACCATTAATTGTGATAATTTTCATTATTGCGATTAAATATAAAAGGAATTTTTAACTGTAGCGCAATGCTTATTTTAATTTCTAGAGAAAGAGAGATAGAGAGAGAGAGAGAGAGAGAGAGAAATATATAAACTATTACTTTGTAATTTTTTGTAAAATATGGGAAAAATACACGAAATTGCCGCGAATAAGATGACGATAATTTTACGAAACATTGAGAAAAATACTTAATCTTACAATTTCGATAGAATCTTAAATCTTATCTGTTGGGATAGTGGTTCGTTGCTTAAATTTCTGTAAAAATGTATCAAGATATATCGTAAAATATATATTACCTACTTCGTTACTTTAAAAGTGATAATTTAAAAATCATGATTTAAAAATCATATAATTTAAAAATCATGATTTAATTATTATCATAAATAAGTTAGATAAGTATTATCCTATCGATCATTTAAAGTTTATTATTTATTATACTAACGTAACTTTAATAATTGTTGAAACTCATGCAGAAAGGATAATTTCTTAAGGGTCGTGATACTAGAATGACAAAAATGATATTTAGTTATGTTAAAAACATTTTTCTTGCCGATATTATTTGATTGATTGAATATTTTTCTGTCAAGTTGAAAATAGTTAATTCCTTTTCTGGAAAAGTTGATATTTTGAGTTGTGTTTTACTATTTTTTAAGTAAGGGAGCAACATGTATTTGAAAGATTTCATAGTCATCATAATGATGGATGAATAGAGTTGGAGAATGGGTAAAAGTATTGATAAAAAAGTTTGATTGAATTTTTAGAATTTAATTTTTATTTCCATTTTTATTTCCATTAATTTATAATTTTAAATCGTCTCTCCAGTATTTTGTTCCTCTCTGCATTGTATCAATGTGTGTTGTTAATAAGTACATAGATATTATATTTATATTCTATTTTCCTTTACAAGCTATATTACTGACAGAGATTTATAGACGCAAGTATCAATGTAGCCGGCAAATCATACAATTACTAGATTAGGAGGGGGGGAGGGGGGTAGAGAGAGAGAAAGAAAGAGACCGAAGAGTGAATTCAGAATTGTAATACTATACAGTATACATATGAGTAAATGAGAAGTGCGTTTTGAGTGCCGTTGATATGATCGCGGCTTATATTCGACTCAGTTCGATTTCTCTTAAATAAAGCAAATCTCGATATCCTCTTTTTGCAAACGTCCAACTTTCTCTAACAGAATGATCACAATAGGCAATTGTGATTTTTTTCACGTATTTGTAAAGTGCATATGCGTAGAGAGAGAGAAGAGAAGCAAAGAAAAATTCTATAGCATAATACTTGTAATTTTAATTGCATTTTTTTATTTATTACGAGATTACGAGATTTAAAAGTAAAAATAATGTTACGATATTTTTTATTCGCGGAATATGAAAGTATCTGAGTATTCAATTACACGCAATGGATGTCAAAGGAGAACATCGTTTATTATATAGCTCAATTGGTATCGCTTAATGAATATATTAGATAATTTTACAGAGAGAGAGAGAGAGAGAGAGAGAGAGAAAGAGACGACAATGTACGAGTATGTGATCGTTGCCGATCAGCGAGGAACAAACACATTGTTTCAGGTCGCGCTGAGACGGCAACAGGCCCAGGAAGAGAGCGAGGCGCGCGAGTTGGGCCTGCAATTGCAATACAATGCCGGCAGCTGCAATACTGCCCCGGTTCTACCAACGAGCGCTGGTACGACGCCAGCTGGTAGCCCGCCCCCGCACCCAGCTGCGGCCGCGGCCGCGGCCGCTGCTGAATGTGCAGCTCTCCTACCTACGAGGAAGAGGTCCACCCAAGATGAATATCGGCAGACCAAGGTGGAAAAGAGTGATGCTGTTATTGGTAAGCTCAATCAAATTGTTGTTTTATATAACGGTAAATACCTATAGTTTAATTTTTTTGCAAACAAAAATCAAACTATATCATCCCTTAATTTATTAAGGCGCTGACCTTTCCTTTCTTATACCATATGTGTATAAATTCTCCCATCAAACACAATTATCGCAATATATAATATATATTAAATCTAATTAATAGGAAGATTTAATTATATATTTTATTACAATTAGAGGTAACGTATACGTATACGTATACGTCTATTTGTAATAAAATATATAACATGCAGATTCGCCTTTAAAGCGTACAATATATTCGTATTCGTAACATATTGTAACAATTGCTTACTACAGTCGGAGCAGCGCAATTCCCTGCCGACTCTCAAAGCAATAAGCGAATTTAGCGAGTAAGCATAGTATCTTCATCCATCTTCGATTTAAACGCAGTGGGCCGGGGGCTTTGAAAGCGGAGAAGGAAGTTGTAGAGTATCGCTATTTATATAGTAAAAGCTCGACATACACGGGGGCAATAATAAACGGTGGCACGCGACTAAGAAGCGGGCGCGCATGTGCACACGCGTGAGTTGCGGACGAGTGCCCATTAAGAACGTGCGTACCACGCCTTAAGTAGGGCAAGTGGCCGCAGGCCATAATGTTGTTAAGTAAATAATGGTCACAAGCTTGCGCGGGCCCTTATTATACTCGAATGCCACTCGAAACGAAAGTCGTACTCGTTAGTACGACGGCCTTTAATTCTCTCCGTTCATTCGCGCTCGACCCTTTCGTTCTCCTTTCGCCAACTTCTTTTCCAAAACGACGACTCGTTCTCGCACTGTAAAGTATAAACGAGATGCACGCGTTTACGTTTACATTTTCAACATTATACTATACGTATATAGATATTTATACTAAGCGCGCTCTCGCTCCTAGCTTCTGATAAATCCAAGCTCTCCCACTTTGTTGACACCTTACTTTGTGTATCGACAATTCTACTTTAAATTCCCCAGCTTGTTCATTCAGTTTCGACACACCCACACACACACACACACACACACGCGCGCGCGCGCGCACACACACACATATTTAGCCTGCAATCGTATATTTGAAAACCTTTGTTATTGTTTCGTACATGTACCTGTATATTCATTTCGCATTACACGCATTTCTCATTTACATAAATGCGGCGAATGTTAAGATCAAAGAACTCGCCATTAACAGCAAATGTAGGCATGTGAAAAAAAGTTACGAAAGACATTTCTATCCGGAATAGATATAGGCATTTCTACTCACATATCAGAATCAGTTTCTTTCTTTTTTTTTCTCAGCTGATATCATTTTATTTCAACAAAGTTGTAATCGATTATCGGTTTGTTACGAACACTCGAATCAATGTAGCGCTTTTCTATCGCTCATATCGCATTTTATTGTTACCTCTGGCAGTGACGTTCGAAAGAGATTGCCCTTCGTTGTACTCGC